CACGGAGAAAAGGCTTAACTCGGTCTGAACTGGCCGGTCGGCGACAGGGCACCCGCGGGCGAAGCCGACCCCCTTGGGCATCGGATCCCAGGTGAGCGGCTTTCTCTCCTCCCGACTTTTCGTGCTTGTTTTTTTTTCTTTCCAAAAATCAACCCAACAAGAGTGGGACGCGGCTTGCTGGCTTGCTGAGAGTGATCCCCGGCCCCCTTCGTGCCGGGGGCTCCTCTGGATCCTTATCCTTCCAATGAAAACAGATAAACAAAAGCTCTCTCCCCCCCTCCAGCTGCCACGGAATCCAGGCAGAGGATCCTGAACCATACCCTTTTCTCACTTTCTAAGGGGAGGGCTTTGAATACCACGGGGACCCAGAGTTCCGAGTAGACCTGGCCGGGACTTGGGCAGGCCTACTCGGGAGTAAGCTCCACGGAGGGCGTCCGACTCCCGCGGAAGAGGGCACAGGATTCGGGCCAGTGCGTTTCATTCAGGCGCAGGAAATCATCTTTTCCTTACCCCCCCCCGCCCCCCCAGCAATCCTAGTGTTTCTATGGGATGGGCTGGCCCAGCCAACCTTGCCTTTGTCTTGCTTTCCATTCCTGGGGGGCCTTCTCCTTCCCAAGACCCGTTTCCTTGCTAGACAAGACAGCATAGGCCTGGTCTACTACCCCGTCCCCCCCCCCCCAAAAATAAGACCTAACCTGAAAATAAGCCCTAGTGTGCTTTTTCAGGATGCTCATCATATAAGCCCTACCCCAAAAAATAAATCCCAGTGAAGGGAAACCCTGCCCTCCACTCTTGTGCAGCAACCAGAAGAAGACAGGACAGTATTTGAATAAATGTAGATTGTTGTACATGAAAAAATAAAATAAAACATCCCCTGAAAATAAGCCCTAATGTGTTTATTAGAGCAAAAATTAATATAAGACCCTGTCTTATTTTCGGGGAAACACAGGACATGTTTTCCAACCCTGGCCAATTCGTGGCGCTGAAGATCACACCGTGGAAACACCCCTGCCAGGGATCTGCTCTTTAAAAGCCTTTAAACGTGGGGTGGGTGGCCCCTGGCCTTCGGGTTATGGTTGCCTTGCAGGTCCCATCAGCCACAGTGGTGGGGGATGATGGGCATTTCAGTGCCCAACATCTGGAGGGCTCAGGGGGTTGCCCATCCTTAACTTACTTTAATGACTCACCTTGTTTTATATTTCTGGAAGCCAGTGGTTTCTCAGCACTGTACCTCCATTAGTCCCGAAAGAGCCTTGAACTCCGTGCGTTAAGATCCTGCCGTGTATCATTGAATCATGGAATCACAGGATAGTGAAGTTGGACGGGGCCAATAAGACCATCCAGTCCAATCCCCTGCTTGATGCAGGAATCCCGGTCAAAGGATATTTGCCAGGTGACTGTCTAAAGTTTCTCTTGAACGCCTCCAGTGTGGGAGCGCTCACCACCTCTCGAGATCATTGTTTCCACTGTCATGCTGCTCTAACAGTTAGGAAGTTTTTCCTGATACCCTGTTTCCCTGATAATAAGACCTAACCTGAAAATAAGCCCTAGTAGGATTTTTCAGGATGCTCCTAATATAAGCCCTACCCCCCAAAATAAGCCCCATTTAAATGAAACCCAACCCTCCACCATTGTGTAGCAACCAGAAGAAGATGACAGGACAGTATTTGAATAAATGTAGATGGCCGTACATGAAAAATAAAATAAAACATCCCCTGAAAATAAACCCTAATGCGTTTTTGGAGCAAAAATAAATATAGGACCCTGTCTTATTTTCGGGGAAACACGGTAGTCAATCTAAATCTGGCTTCCTGTAACTTGAGCCCATTGTTGCGTGTCCTGCACTCTGGAATAATTGAGAACAGATGATGTAGCATTTAAATGCACACCTTCGAAGTTCATAACTCTCTTTTTTGAAAATTAGGTTTGGGTTTTTGGCACTGTGGCTGTGTTCTTGGGTGCACCCGCAAATATTCCTGATTTTGTAATTATTTGGTACTTTACATAGTTTCGCTTCCCGCGTGCTTTTTTTTAAAAAAGTGTTTTGACACAAATTATGAATCATTTGAAGAGAAAATGTAATGAGTTGTGATTTAGCGACAGCTCTTCTAGAACACACAAGCCAGTGAGATATTGTCATACTTATGGTCAGATACGGCAGGGATGTGGCTTGGAAGCAAGATGTCTTGAAACTCCATACTAGATATGTTTCAGACAGTGAAGCACTTTTGAAATTTTATTTTTGTGGGAGAGATGCCAGTTTATGCTTTGTTTATCTATTGAAGTCACTGGGACAGGATGAACAACCCCGTGGACCTTTGCTCAGAAGTAAGGCCTGCGTCGTGCTGGATGGTGCTTAGTCCCCACTAAGTGTGTTTAAGATTGCAGCTGTAAATGCTTGACTCTGGTTGAATCCAGACTGTGGTTCCTTTCTTTGCTTATTTACATTTGGGGTTTGTATTGCAATCCTTAAATACATGCTTATGGCTATTCTCAAGTTGGTTATTCTACATGGAATAGCCAACCGATCGCAACAAGAAGCACTAAAATATAAAAATGGCAGATTAAATTGTGATCAAAGCCTCATCACAAGTTAGGAAAGGAAAAGCCCAAGAGGATTAAAGACATCTCTGCTTGTCGTCAGTAAGCCAACAGATATGCTACCAGGGGCCTCTGTACATCTCAAGCAAACTGGTTGTGACAGCCCTGAGGGCTTACAATTCCATGAAGGCTCTTCCTGGAAATGCCCAAGTGGAAGTCCTGATCATGTCCACCAAAGGATCTAGCCACTGTCTAAACCAGTGGCTCCCAACCTTGGATAATCCAGATGTTCTTGGACTGCAACTCTCAGAAATCCTGTCCAGCACAGCGAGGGGTGAAGGCTTCTGGGAGTTGCAAATATCTGGGGCCACATGGTTGGGAACCACTGGTCTAAACCTTAAAAGGAAATCTCTTGAGAGATGATCAAGAATGCTAGGCCAATTTCCCACAACCATTATAGACTGCTATTTTCCTATCTGGAAAGCACTAAGGAGTCCAGGAGATGACATCACACAGCAAACCCTTGACATCCGTGTTGAAGTTTGACAATGCCTTACCCCACATCTGGGATAACCTCCACCACCTGAGGCAACTGTGTGATAGGCATGGAGGTGGCCAGGATCCTAATGGATCACAGGTTCTCATACTGGATTGCCACTGGTGAAACAGCAGCATCCAACAGACTTTGGAGATGCAGCCTTGACATTCATTTGAAAAGAGTGCTCTGAAAGGCTGAGCATCCTTGGAATTGCTGGATAGTTCAGTGGCTTGAGTGGTTACGGAGCCAGAGGTTGGGAGTTCGATTCCCCACTGGGCTTCCTTGACAG